AAATATTTTGTTTAGGTACAGATCCCTATTGCTGGGTGATTATTTTTTTGGCCTTTTACAAACTTATTTTTAGTTTTATGTCTTTACTATTTTTTTTTTACATATGAGAGATTTACTTTTACACGTAAGAGATCTAAAAAAGACAATTTCTTAAATTCAATATTGTAAAAGGCCAAAAAGATCTAAAACCTCTCCCCATTGGTAATTAAATCATAAATTAATAAAACAAAGAAGATCAAGTTTAAATCGTTTTGAACCCAAAAGAGAGATAACATATACTACTACTTAATTTAAAGAATACTTTGTTATCAAAAAGAAAATCAATATCACAAGGTTTATGCTGCCTATTGTTGTTATTATAATAATGGAGAAATTTGGCTCTTTTCCTAGGACCACAGAGAAGTTGACTAAACGAGGGAACACTACAAGATGTAATAAGGACAATATTAGAGCAAAGTAGCTTTTAGATAAGAACGATAATTTTTTTAAATGTTATTTAGCCATTTATTTAATATGCTAATGAGTGGATATCCAATTATGTTACGCTAATCCTCCATTTCTTCTCCAGTTTATTTCATGTTAAATTCAGGGCATTTGCTAGTGGTCCCATTTTTTTATTTATTTCTTTTATGTCATTGAACCTGACTTGAAGTTTTTACAAATTCCAACATCATGCTTGCAAGTGGAAAAGGCTGAATAAATATTTTACAAGAATATAAAATTTAGTATTCTGATAGCACTTTAATTACTTCCTACTTTTCCAAGGAAAAAAAAAATACTACTACGTTCTTAATTATTACTATGATTACCACTTGGCAATTTGGCATTCTTGTGCTTCCACCGGAAATGTTCAAATTAAAGTATTGTAATCAATCACTACCGAAACTATTCATTTTCGTTCTTTTCTTTTCTCTTTTTTTAAAGGGGAAAGGAAAATAGGGGACTAATAAGATACTACTAAATAAAAATACGGAAAAAAAAACTGTCCCTGAAGTATTGTAATTGGTACAAAATTGCTCTCCGTCCATCTATTTGAATAAAAATGTCCCTACCGTTATTTTTTTGACTCAACATTTTCCTTATTATTAACAGAAAATTCATTAAAAAAAATTATATAATATCCACGTGTCACCCGTCCCATTGGTCTAACATAAACCCCAACCCGTAACCCGCCCAGATATTGACCCGCCCCAATTTTAAAACATAACTCTCTCTCCCTTCGCTATTTTATATTAGTGAGCATTTACTTACGAGTGTATGTCTACTATTATTCATGAGGCAAACTCAAAATTGAGTTCAGTATATAGAATTATTTTTATGGAAGATGGAATGAATTGTCATATTCTTTTTAATTCAAAAAGTTTAGATTCTTTTTGTTTATGCAATGGGTATTCTTTGTTATATAATTTTCTTTATTTGAAATTTGTGGGAGGGTTTCTTCACTATTTTTTGTCATTCCTCGTGAAAATTTGAGGATTTATTTTTCAATTTATTTATTTATTTATGTGATATGTATTTCTATTTTTTATTTATTTCACTATTTATTCAATTAATATGTAAGCTTTTCTACTCCGTGTAACAGGTGTTGTGCAATTGTCACATTTCATACACACTGGGTTCATGTGATGTACTAATAATAATTAACAATTTTTTAAGATAATTTTTTCAGTATTTATTTTCTTATTTTGATTGTTATCATGGATTCAATTTTCTCGATTAGATTATTGTGTTAAGTCTAGTAAAAAAAGGATTTTTTACTCATAATTTGCAAATGAGAGAGGGTATTGTGTACGTTGCTATTTCCGGCAGATCCGCCGGTGAATTCCGACCAAGTAGCAATAAGACAGAGAGAGGGAGGGAGAGAGAGAGAGAGAGAGAGAGAGAGAGAGAGAGAGAGAGAGAGAGAGAAAGAGAATTGGGTTTTAAAATCGGAGCGGGTCAATATTCGGACGAGTTAAGGATGAGTTTAGTTATATTTTAGTTGAAGTTTAAGTTAGGTCAATGGAACGGTGACACGTGGATATTAATTAATTTTTTTTTTCTTCCAGAATTTTCGGTTAGTAATAAGGGCAATGTTGAGCCAAAAAAATAACGGTAGGAAAATTTTTATTCAAATAGGTGGATGAAAGGCATTTTGGTATCAATTTTGATACTTCAGGAGCAATTTTGGCCCTTTTCCGATAAAAAGATTGATGGGATAATTTAGTGGTCTATGCAGGTATTGCTAGAATTTAAAATTACGCAAAATGTGAGAGGTTGGAGTTTTTTTCTTTAGACATGAATAATTTTATTCTGTGTTTATTCGGCCTTGCTGCTCTATGCTAAGAGCCCGTTTGGACAAAAGAATTTTTTCCTTTTTTTCGAAATCAGCGTTTGTTCATAAAATTTATAATTTTCACTTGAATATACATTTTAAAATTTTTCGAAATTTTGAAAACCTCCAAAAAATTGTTTTTTAAAATTTTCACTCAGATTACTTACAAAACTTCAAAAATAACCCAAAATTATATTCATGTCCAAACACAATTCTAATTTTCAAATATCATTTTCGCTTGAAATTTTTTTTCATATTTTTTTGGAATTTTACAATTCTTATGTCCAAACGCCCACTAAATTACCATTATCTATTTCAAAAACTTTCCAATTTTCTTTTGTTTCTTTTCCTCCGAAGCTTCGGGAGTAAGCAATCAACTTAATATTACTTCTGGACTATTTCTGATTTCCTTCATTTTCGAAATGTAAATAGAAGGGTAAGCAAAAGGAAATAAAGTTTTAGTTTTAAAATGAACTTCTAATACATTCAGTTTGAAGCTAAATGTTAAGCGACTCAAAGGGGTCTAATTTTGCAAAGGAATAAGTTGTTTTCCAAATGCATTCAAGTTTTTCCAAAATAGGTGAAAATAATGTTGGCCTAAAAATTGACTTTTTTTACATGGATGATGACTTTTTTACATGGATGATCTCTTTACAAAAATTATTCTCATAACTACTAGTATTTCTTGTTTATTGCAATAATAGCAAATTTTATTACACATGTAGCATTATTTAAATATATATAACGGCTTAAATGCCGCTACAATGGGAATCCCATTTAAAAGTCAAAAGGCCAGCATTAAGGAAACCGTTTCCATGAAACAGTTTCATCTCTGCCAACACTAATAATATTTCAGATTCTTCCAAAAATAACAAAAAAATAAAATTTCAGATTTTCTCTCATTCCATAAACCAAAATATACCAAAACTATCAAAGAAATTTCCCTATATTTCGTTGATTTATGCCATATTTCTTCTAAAAGGATAGCATTGTGATTTATACGCTATTAAATACCATCATTATGTTGTGTATATTAACATATTAGAATTTTATTCATATACTATTAACTATCATCATTATATCGTGCATATACACATTTATATATAATCACGTACTCTCTCTCTCTATATATTTCATGTATATATTTATTATTCATTGTTATTAATATTAATACACAATCAATATATACAATGGTTGGAGAATTTATGTTAAAATACATAAATATATACGTGATTTTTATTTGGTATATTATCTGGTATAATTTATACATAGTTTACATTGTATATAAGTTATCTAATGTAATTTGTACATAGTTTATTACAATTTATACATGACTTATACAACGTATATTATCACAATTATGAGATTATATTCTAGGCTTCCATATGTATATTATTATACATGTTATATTCCAGATTTGTTAGTTTTTATTTTTTTGTAAATGAGAATAACCAAATTATGTAATGTGAGTAATAATTAAGTACAAAATCTTTTTTGAATAGTGTAACTTAATTAACCTTTTTAAGGTAGTAAAATGTTTTGGCTGCGTGATTTTAGGTGCAAGATTTAAAGCTATCTGCTAGGGAATGAATTATTTAATGGCCATATATGTAAAATACTTGATGTTGCTAGGTTTGTGAAAAAGTTTCTTAAATTTTGCCTATTTATGTTTTTTACTCTAAAAAATTTCACCTCGTTCTGGAAACAAACGGGTAGATTATGAATGTATAAATCATTAACGGAAACTTTATATTTTTGGGCTTCATTTCAAGGAACCAAGAGAGATAACATATTTCCATTAGAAAATTATGTTCTTTTGGGCTTTCATTTATGCCACCAATTGCCAAACAATCCTTTGTTGATGTATAGCCCATTGATATTTTTCGGTTACTTGAGATATTGATGGTGTTGGGCCAGTTTTTTTGTTGAGAAATGTATATTTTTATTTAATTTATAAAATAATAATCGATAATATATATATATATATATATATATATATATATATTTACTTTTTAACTAATGAATACAATTAATTTTGATCAACAAGCCAATTTATATTTTGCCCTTTATTTGTTTCGCCTTGGACGACTGAAAAGCAACAAGGAAAATAATGGGTAAGCCTATTCAATCCATAACTTCTTGTGGATGATCAAGGATGTATATGGTTTTAGGCGAAACATAAGTAAAAGCAAAATGGGGTGAGAGCTTGGCAAGAAGTGTTCTAGCAATGCACATGACCGTACTCCCTCTGTTTCAATTTACGTTACTTATTATATAATTTGAATTCACATGGAGCTTACGACAGGAAATTTATAAATTTATGGTCTTAAATATATTATAGTATCATAACATCTGTATGACTATAAAGTTTCTCATTAACAACAACAACAATAACAATAAATTCAGTATATTCCCAACAGGCAGGGTCTAGAAAGGGGACGCAGACCTTATCCGTAGCTAGTAAAGGCAGAGAAGTTGTTTCCAATGGCCCTCGGCTCGGAAAGGGTGAGAAGAAGAAGGAGAAGAAAAAGAAGCAAAAGGAGGAGAAAAGACAGGAAAATGAACCATAAAGTTTCTTATTAAAGGTAATAGTATAAGAAGTGTAAAGTTAACTGTTTTCAGTGTGTTATTCCTTTCGAAACAGACTAATAAGAATATAATGCTACATAAACTGAAGCAGATGGAGTATATTAATTCTCTCGTATTAGGTTTCTCAGCCATTTTATTCTTTCTGGTTCTTACTCATTACAATGATGTAGTTGTGGGCAGGCTTTACCGTTATGATTAAAAGCGCTGCCGTTAGAAGAGTCCCTCTGTAGTTGCAATCAATTCTCTAGCCTCTGGGTTTAAAGAAAAATCCGTGATAGAAACTACTCAAACTCTATTTTCTTATTATGATTGATATATTTTGTGACACAATTATTATACGTTAGGCGTGACTATAGTCATGAGGGCGAGAGAGATTCAGCATTTAAACTACTTAACGGATTAAAGTACTATAGTCGTGACAATAAAATGATGGGTTCAATTGAACCCGCTCCTAACATTCTAGGTCCGCCTCTGTTCATGAGCCATTTTCCGTAGCCATGGAGGAATTTCTCCCATCATCAGCAGCTTCTTCTTGGTTGCAGGCTAACATATGTGCTTTGTTAGCTTCTCTAACCCAATCAATCCTAGCAACAAACACCAACAACAAGGCCAAACAAAGAACTACTCCAACCATAAACCCTGTCAATAGACCTACAAGCCCAAGATGAAACTTGAACGCCAAAATTACCCCCAACGGCAAGGCCAACAAGTAAAATCCACTGATATTAGCGTACATCCCTAGCCAAGGCCGCGCTGTTCCACGAACAATTCCTCCAAAAACTGCTAAAGGAAAATTAACAACTTCAATTAACGCCATTAGCAACATGATCTTCTTCACTCCTCTTATTATCCTTCTGTCATAACTAAACAAAGGACCCCAAATTCCTCTTGCCCCTACCATTACAGAACCGCCTAAAAAACCAGAAATAATACTCAAGACTAATGACACATATGCTGCCCGGTAAGCAGGGGCAGGACTATCTGCCCCGAGCTCATTCGATACGCGAACGGACGCACAAGTCTCAAGCGAAAGCATAACAGAGAAGAGCAAATAATCAAAGTTCAATACAATGGCTATAACCCCAACTGCTTGTTTAGCATTTTTGAGACGCCCTGTTAACAAAACCAATATCTCATAGCACCACCATTCAAGACAAGTAGTAAGACAACATGGTCCACAGAGTTTAAGCAATCTGATCCAATCAAGAATCTCCTGTTCCCACCAGCCTCCTTCTTTCCATTTTCCTCCCTTTCTGTTCTCTACTATCATTACATAAATAGCCAAAAGAATCATGATTAGTAAGTCTGTTAGCCAATATGCCATGGAAATTCCTTCTAGCCCTTTAGTCATCGAAAATAGCATAGTAATCGGTATATGCAAAGCAACAGCTAGAGTTGAGCTTAACATAATTGGGATTGTAACATTTTGTGTGCTCAAGTAAGCCTTTAGTGGACACAAAAATGATGTGATCACCAAATCAGGGAGGAGATAAATAAGATATTTCTTAGCTACCATAGAAATGTCATTTTGCTGGCCACATTTTATGAGGATTTTGTCAACATTAAGCCACAAGAAAGATATAGGAATTGAGACGAGTAGTAACAAAGAAGTTGACATGATAAGGGTCTTGTGAAGTAACTTATGATTCTTGGCTCCAAATGCTTGTCCACAAATAAGTTCCATAGCACCACCGAGACCATTCAAGACTGAGAATCCAGTGACGTTCGCGAACGTAAAACCCAACGTGGCTCCTGCCAATGAAAGATCTCCAAGCTTACCGAGAAATGCAGTTGTTATGGCTGTTTTTGCAAACCATGTGAAGTTCATGGCCATCAGAGGAAGTACTATTCCTCGTTGCAATTTCATTTCTAAAAGGGTATTTTGTATGAGATGTTGTGGCCATTTTTTGGTCATTGTTTCAGGCATGGTAGTTGTGGTATTTAATTTGCGGGATATTGGCGGAGTTATTTCTGTTTTCGTGATTTCTTACTTGAAAAATGGAGGGCCTGCACAAGAATGATAAGTTGTTAAAGAGCATGAGTTTTGTGAAGGTCAATGTTGGTTTTGTAAAGGATGGTATAAAAAGATGCTCTAGGTTGTTCGTCGGTAGTTACGATACGATGTTTAGTCATTCAGTATTTTCGATATTCGATTTCTTAAAATGTTATACCAATACCGTACCTAATTAAATTCGGTATGGTTCGGTTTTTCTCCTTTCGGTTTTTCTCCTTTCGGTTTCAGTTTATTCGGTTCGGTAACTTCGGTTTATTCGGTATGAATACTAACTAGTGCATAGAGTCATAAACTGTAATATTCTTAATTAAAGTATTCAAAAGTACAAAATTAAAAACGTTTGTTGATAAAAATTTTGTCCAAAACCAGTAAATATCAACCCAAGAGAGAAAACTGTACATAAAAGAATAAATTTGATCATTAGAATTGTCTTGTTGCGTGCTTAGAGTTAATTGATGAACTTAGAGAATAAAGGAAAGTAAAATTTTAGATTTGTTATATTTATGTAATTAATAATATGTGTATTGTGTAATATAATATATATTTTAGTACGATATCGATATTTCGGTATTTTATTTTAAAATACCAAATACCATACATAATACCAATTTCTTTTTAAAACTTAAACCAAATACCATATCGAATACCAAATACCAAAATTTTCGATTTCGATTTAATAATTCGGTATTTATCAAATTATGCACGACTCTTTTTGTAACGGCCAATTGAGGAAAGAAAACCAATTAGAGAGGTAAAGTTTGGTGGTGAATTTATAGTGCGTGATGAGAATGCCATGGCAAATAAAAAAAGAGTGATGCTAAAAAGAAGAAAATAACACGGGACAGAAATCTTTATGAAAGACTAATTGTTGCCTAGACATTATTACTTTTTTGCTAAAATAACACAATACTCAGAATTCATTATTGAAAGATTAACTGTTGTTTACACATTTTTACTCTTTTACTAAATTGGTTCAGAATTCTTTATGAAAGATTAACTATTGCTTATACATTTACTCTTTTGGTCGTGAAAAAATTATCCAAAAAATTTCACCACTAACCGTAGATTTTTCAATGTGTGCTATATATACCCGTCTTCTATGGGTTTATTCAACACGATATACGTTGAAATTACACATTTTCAAGAAATTTTTCGTGTTACAATATGCATCGCTCATCGTTCACCCTTCCCAAACCTTGCGTGAATACGAATAACTTGTGCATTGGGCCTTTTTTTTAAAGTCGAGTGAGCAACGCGCTTTCTTTTTTCAAGTCCAATTACTACTTTCTTTACTGGTCTACCCTTTTTTTTCCCCGAGAAGCAAATTAACAGAATTTTCAAGTAGAATAGCCTTTCGGTACAAGTTATTAATGAATGCCCAACCCTAAAGCAAGACTTGCTTTAGGCCCCAAAAATTTAAAGGCCCCAAAATTATTAGTATTTTTTATAAATAGTAGTATATTATTTATATAATTATCTTTTATTATTGATAAATTTATTTCTTTATTCTCATATTAATTTTTAATAATTCACTTTCTTCCTTTAATTAATATAACTAAAATAATTTTCTGTCAATCTTATTTTACTTTTTTACTTAATTATATTTCTCTATTCATTAGTTGGTCACGTAACTATATCTAATAATCTAATTTCTTACATAAATTATACTCTCTCCGTCCCAATTTATATGAAAGTGTTTGACTGTACATGGATTTTATGAAATAAAGGAAAGCTTTTGAAACTTGTAATCTTAAATAAATCATAGAAGTTTTTGGGCTAGAAATCATCTCAATAATGGTAAAAAGAAAAATCTAAAGTTGAATTGTTACCAAATATAGAAAGGGACTTACTAAAAAAAGGAGTCACTTATGTTTTGTGGATTCTCCCATTTCAGTTGTGATGTAATCAACGTTAAATTCATTTAATTTTCTGTATTTTATAAAACTAAGTTCTCATTTTTTTTAATTATACATCCTCACTTGTCTAATTTTTTTAAAAACGATGTTCATTATATATATATATATATATATATATATATATTAAGGCCTCTTATTAAGATTTTGCTTTAGGCCTCCGATGAGGTTGGGCCGCCCCGTTAATGATACGGCTATGGCATTTATTGCCAATCACTTTGTCATTTCAAGCTGTACAATACTCACCCTCCCAATTTATATGGTATTTTGTTTTTGCCTATTGAGAATCAAACTTCGTAATATTGACCATATATTTGAACATAAAATATCATTAAGTTTTTTGAAATAAAATTTATATATTTAAAATCTATATAAAAGTATTGTAGGCCATAATAATTAATAAATTAAAATAGTTAAAAGGCATATGAAAAAATTATGGCCAAAGAACAACTCGTTTAACTCTCGAAATCAGAATATCTTCACATAAAGGAGTAACTATTTTAATTTTTCAGAGCAGCTAGATTCTTGCAAGATTAAAATTCTATATTGATCTGTTTTGGAAGAAAAGAAAATAGTATTCATTGTCCCATAATTTCTTAAGAATTTTTCCTTAAACCACATGATAACTCATTGTAGAAATGGAGAATAATGTGGGACAGGATTGATAGGGGATTTGAATTTGAAATTGCAAGTGATGCAGATAAATTCTCACTTGATCTTAAAGAATCAATTGTAGTTTTTCCCTTTTCGTAATTCGTATAACGCTTTAGAAGCTACTGAATTCTAAAAATTCGATCATCACATGAAACGGTAATAGAGCACAACGCTTTAGAGACTACTGTAACATAAATATTCGACTATCACATGAAACTAGCATAGATTAACATAACTGAAGGAATTGGCATAAAAAAGAAAAAAGCATAAGAGAATAAGGTAATTTTAAGAGGTTTGGCACTATACCACTATCTTAATTATGAATATATATCAAATTGGGTTATTTATAACAGCAAAGGAAAAGAAAAAGAAAAAGAAAAAGAAAGAAGGAAAAATAAACCAATCTTATCAGTAACTAATAATCCTACGACAATTTTGGCTCATGGTGAAAAGAAAAAAGTGACAATTTAGCTCTAAAATGATGAAACTATAAAGGTTTGCTCTAATATGTTGAAATTCTATTGAGATTATTACCCTGTTTATGAGAGGGATCAAAAGCATTTCTTTTCTCACAAAAAAATATTTTTTAGAAATTTGAGATGTTTGATTAAAAATAAAAAGTATTTTTGAGCCGTAGCTGTAACTACACACCGTTTGTAACATGAAAGTTTGATTCTCTAACAGACTCTAATGAAAAGAAAAATGCACTTTGATAACATTATCTTTCTGATAGGCTTGAGGTTAAATCAGATAAATCATTTTTGTCTAATAACCTTTGGATCTTCAAATTTTAGTCAATTACTGCATATCTACAATATATTCTTAGGTAAATGACCACTTTCCAAACTCCAGTAATAACAAAGAAAAATGTGCACTATAATATATCCTAGGAAAAGAGACACTTAAAAATCCATAATCATTTAGCAGTTTGCATACTTTATGTGCGGATAGATTAAATTAACAAAAGCACGCTGCTATATCAGGAAGACACCAGATGTTGCAATAATAACTGTATGAAATCAATTATTCTCTAATCTTAGTATTATTGTTGGGAAAATTACCCCGCCGAAATAATATTCACGGTATATGATTGTAATAAATGCGGATTACTAAAATACAGTTACCAACGACAATAATAAGAGAAATAATGACATCGAGACTTTTACGTGAAAAATTCTTTTGAATAAGGGAAAAACCACTGTCCCAGAAGATCAACTGATTTCACTATAACAAAGTTTTTATAATTTGTGGCACCGAGTAAAATATTCCAAAACCACTACACACTTAAAAAAAATAACTCTTTCGATTTTTTCACCTCACTACAATACTGCTCAAACTCTCTATATTTTTTTTCCTCGCATAGTATTTTTCGTCTTCCTATGTGAACTCTCTCTTACTCTATCTGTTTTGGTGTGTCCAACAACACCTATTTATTGTGCTTAGCATTATTTCATTGATGTCATGTTAACGCAAAAGTCAAATATTATATTGTAAAACCAAATAATGATCTGCCTTAAAAATTTTCATACTGTTCCTTAGTTTGACTTGACATTTCTCTACCAAATGAAACTTCTCTTCTTTCACATGGGACACTGAATGGACGCAACAATTATATGGTGAAAAGTGACACCACCTTTAGTTATCTAGTGTTTTTTGAGGTGCGCCTAGCTAGTGTAGGATTAACACGACTGTAAAACAATTTTTCCGCTTGTAGTGCGTTGGTTAATGCTTATCTGATGCGCACTAATCTTGATTAATTAATGAGTTTAAAAGATATATATCCCACTTAATTAATTGGTCCTTGAATTTATGATTAATTAATTTATTTAGAATAATAATGAAAGATCTATTGATAAGAATATCTTAAGGAACATCAACTTGAAACTGGGGTGATGTGTGGAGATATTGATTATTTAGTGACTTGGAAGATAAATTCCTCTTACTTACTCCTTGGTATATGTTCTATGTTCCATGCAAATCATATCATATATCCTTTAAAAATAGGAAGCCTATCTTCAAAGTTGAATTACTATAATATCCTTTAAAATTTAACTTCATGTTTCACTTGAAAGTTTAGAAGCATTATTTTTCTTGTCTTTTTCCTTTTCAAAAATTCATGTACAAAAGAGTTAATAATTTATTTGGATTAATGATTTAATTAATCCGTTTAAAAAGTGTATTATTTCACTTATTATTTGGTCAATTTTAATCTCTCTTCTGTTACTATGCGAGTTTAATGGACAAGCCGAAAGTACGAATTTCTTGAAATATTAGCCTACTTAATGTGTAAAAAATGTTAGATTTGACACATAATTATTGTGTTATACTAATACAATTATAAAATTTATAATATTCAACTAATATTCTTTTGTCATAATTACAGATGAAAGGAGTCATAGTCTTGAATCGGACAAAGTGTCCTTGTACGTGCAACAATGATATCAATAAATTTTTTTGATGT